ATAGAAGATAACAGCTCAGTAGGATATTCTCTCGAAGATCCTCGGTACCTCCAACTGTATCAACTATCGTAACTAACTAATTTGGCAACTGGAACCCTGTCTCTGTGGGGATTCCCCTTCGTGCCGAGCTAAGTCACCGCGCGAAACTCCGTAAATCTCGCCGCAACATTCAACCTGCTTCTCTCTTTCTCTCTCTCTCTTTCTCTCTCATGCTGCGAATGTGTGCGGTTGAATACCGGGATTCTTGGTACTCCCGATGTCCGTAATACACGTACAGAAATCATCGATGTAAGAGAAAAGTATTTTGCTCGGAAACTCGACAGTACTCGGTACATTATCTTTTAAGCGCCTTTACCAGGAACGAGAGAGATTACGAGCTATTTATTAAATTTTTATTACAGACCGAAGAGAAGCGACTGCTCTTTTCTCGATCCCGGCGCGAATGGATTAGGCGTCATTTATCGTGATAATACTTAAGAGCTTGAAAAAAAAAAAAAAATTAATCAACTCGTGTTTTTACCGCACTAATATACACTCGTTAAATCTCACCCTTGAGATAACGTCGGCATGTGGTGGTACATGGTGGACGCCGAGAGTTCGTAATTTACCTTGCGGTAGGTAAACATTCCTCTCTCTCTCTCTCTCTCTCTTTCTCTCTCTCTCTCATCCTCTCTCCGGACATACAGCATTTCGCGAGAGTTCGGTGGTCGAAGGAGGACATAAAGCCGTAATACCGCATTATATCAACGTAATGTGACATCCAGGTGTCCCACGGAGAATATTTCTCCTTCTGGAGATTATCAGCTTATTGCCCCGGGGCTCTTCCCGATGTCTCTTTTCTATCTCTCTATCTCTCTCTCTCCCTCTCTTATATCTTGCTCATTCCTCCCGTGCGATTTTCGCTGAAAAATAATCTCCACACATGAGGAGTATCATAAATTCAATCATTTTATAATATTTTTTTCTCAATTTGATGTGAAAATATACAAATCGCACATCTCGGATCACCGCAGAAAATTCCATATAGTTTTTCCCCTGCGTGCGTGTAATATCAGCAGCGTGATTGTTAGCTGCGCGCAATTAGCTCGGAAAAATGTTCTCTGCATAGCGAGCCAATGAGAGAGAGAGAGAGAGAGAGAGAGAAGCGCGTATCTGCAGGCAAAGTCCGATGAGATGACTGCTTTAATCTCGCAGTTAACTCGGTTTCATCACAGTTGCAATGCAGCTGACAAGTCATTGCGTCGGTATGGCTTGTAATGCCGAATAACGTTACACGGTCTCGTCCGGATCGTTAAACGAGGATAATTACATCCGTATATCAGCGAGAGAGACGCGCTTTCATGTTCTCTCTCTTTCTCTCTCTCTCTCTCTTTCTCTCTTTCTCTCTTTCTCTCTCTCTCTCTCTCTCTCTCTCTCTCTCTCGATTGTTCGCGCTCAACCTACGTGAATATGAACCGTAATCTGTCACGAGACGTTCTGCTGAAATCTGGAGCTGAGATTCCGGGCCATATCCGATAAATCTTGGAAATTAATATTCCGTTCTAAAAAAAAAAAAGAAGGCTGAAAACGTTTTTTACTCCATTGTGTCACATCACGTGTCAATTTGCATGTTTCACTTTTTATCGTTAAAATTGTGTGAAAAAATACTTTTGCAAATTATTTTACACGTGAGATTATTTTCGACGCTGTCGGAAAGTCGATTACACAAGCGCGCGCGCGCGCACACAATACACACACATATATACTCGCAGCGCTAAAAATAACGTTATATCAATACGGTTATCGCGATGCAGGCATCGGACGCAGGAAGGACGCAGAAAGGATGAAGACGCGGAGCGAGCGGCACGCGCATTTACGCCGTGCCATAAGCAATTTCCATGCACAGGGAGGGTCCGCACAATTTCCGGTGCATTCGCGCGCGCGAGCATGTAATGCACGCACGTGTTGCACGCGGCACTATCTTCCCCCGTTTTCCCTTCCGCGATAATCGCGAAACTACGGAGTCCGGCTCGCGGAATCGCTTTCGCAACGCCGCAAGCCCGCAAATGCGGCAGCCTTTGTCCCGCTACGTTGCGCGTGATAACGGCACATGGTATGTACGGGAAATACGTGTCGGGGCACGCTCTTCGCTTCGTACACACATATCCACACACGTACACACATTTTCACACAAACACGTTATACGTACTCCAGACGCGTTGCACAGAGAGCGCGCGGATGCACAAAGTGTTTGGAACGATAACAAGTAGAGTCGTGCGAGAGAGGGTGGAAACGCTGTTATCGCCCTGCGCGCACGTCACGGCCGGGTAATGCGCCGTATAAAGGGATTACTCGCCGCTGCGAAGACTCCAGTTGTAAATACGAATTGGTATCGAGGAGTAGAGCGGCGAAGTAAGACGGATGAAATCGCGAGAAAAGAACGCAGTTTCCATCATAAAAAAATCCATGTGTACCGCAAAGTGCGCGTTTTCGAATCGAATTTATCGCATCTATTGTTGCCTCCTTTCCGCGTTGCCGATTGGTTGGTTGGTTGATCGAGTCGAATCGAATTGATAAGATCGAGAGAGTAAATAATAACAGAAAAGCGATTTTGACAGTTCGTCGTATACGTGGAGAAAATTAAAAACGTGACTAAAGTAAAGTCACGTGACAGGAAAGAGTAGAAAAACAACACGTGACTAAAGTAACGTGACTGTAATTTATATTATATATAACATTAAATAATATATATTACACATATAAGTTATTATATATTTATAATATACTTTATATTGTATTATATGTATTATATACATATTACAATAAGGTCACTGACCTCGGCCGGGCGACCTTGGCGGGGTTACGGACTTCGGCCGGGTGACCGCGGCGGGGTCTCTGACTTTGGTCACGTGATTACGGTATATATATATATTATTTTTAGACGATTTTAAAGCCACGTGATTAAACTGTCACGTGATTTTACTTTAATCACGTCTTTAAAGACACATGACTAAAGTAAAGTCACCTGTGGTTTTTCCACTTCTTGCTCTCACTTTTTTTCGAGTTTTTTTTATTTTCATGCGTTATTTCTGACATCTCTCTAATGTGTATTATATGGTTTGTATATACTAGCTGTCATTGCGGTGACAGATTGTATTCACTGACACTACACGTTAAAATAAAAATACAATAATAGCGTGCGCGTAGCGCGAGAGCCTGTGTTGTGTTAGTATATAAAATAATACATGCATTGCATATGTATGTATAAATCACCGTTGTACGCGCACGTGACGTTATCATCGAAAACTCAATTCCATTCTCGTTGTTATGCACGTATTTTTTCGAACACGCAAAGAACGTTTGGGCTTGCACATTTTCCGGGTAAACGTTACGCTTTGCGCGCGCGCGCGCGCGCGTGATCGAAGAAACGACGCGGTCCGCATTCCTCCGGGTAGCGAAGCGGAAAAATGTACGAGCAAGGTTAAACCCGCTCATTACGTTTATCGATTGAACGCGCAAGCGAACCGCGCGCGTTGCGACACGCAACGGGGATTTTGTTTAAGAATCGCGCTCGACGAATAAAATCTCCTCCGTCGTACTCCGATCGCTCGTGCGTGAAATAAATAAGCGTTCGATCGAACGACGAGACGTGCTGACGATAGACGCGCTTCAATCACGATTCTTTGGTCGAATCGCTCATGTACGTACGTACGTATGTACATAAGCGCGGAGGCAATTAAACGGCGATAAACGAAGAAAAAGTCTTCTCGCGCTCATTTTCAATTTCCGGCTTTTATTTATTCGGTGTGCGGCACAATGTGCGCGCGCGCGCGAGAGAGAGAGAGAGAGAGAGAGAGAGAAAGAGAGAGAGAGAGAGAAAAAAAGAGAGTATATTTTAATCACATTATCCCCGCCGGCGGAAAGTCCCGCTCGAAGAAGTTCGGAGACCTTCTTATCTGGCAGCCAATCCCGGCTAATTAAAGCGTCCCCCGAATGTGCTGCATCTGTGCGCTCCATCATGTACACGTGATCGGAATACGTATGTACAGCGAAAGAAAGAAAAAGAGAAATACAGACGTACATACTCTCTAAGAGAAACGTGTGTGTTTATCAATAATTAGAACGGCCGAGACAGGTTGACTGATAAGTGCTTAATGAAATCTATTTTTAAGAATCAATTAAATCAAATGAAAAGTTCTCTTTGATTCTGTACTGGATATTTAAACATTTCGTCGTGTGAATCAAATGAAAGAGTAAACGAAGAAATTATGTCGTATCCCACTTACAAATATATTTTGTGATACATGCTTATAAATCGATTATTTTTATTGTTGTAGAGAAATTTGTATTAATATTGATTACGTCTGTCGTTTTTTTTTCTTCGCTGCAAACTCTCAAGTTCTCGACAGCTTGTCGGAAAGAGAACTCGGGTCGTGCGCGGTAATTTCCCGGTAAGTTAGCGGCGGGAACTTAATAGGGGGGGAGGGGAGAAAGTCTCGAACGGTCCGCGCCGATAAATAATAAAACGGCTTCAATTAGCCGCGGCTTTTTCTTCACTGAAGGCGAAGCACAGCACTGCTGCCGCGGCAAATGCAGAAGTGGCGTAGTGGCAACGGGAAATTGTCGGCGCTCGATTCCTCTCGACGTAAACGAAGACGTAGTGGGGCGTGCAATGATCAAGTATATCCCGGGAAAGATTAACGACTTGGCGGCCCGCGTGGAAGCGGTCGGGAACTCCGAGATCGACGGCGCAAGAGAAGCAAGGAAGGCCAATTACGGAAAGGGGGGGAAAGATGAGGGGGCCGCCTCTCTCGATTCGTCTTGCCTCGATTTCGTCTCGATTCCCGATTTAATCGAACCTCGACCGGTCGGCCCTGCAGCCGCCGCCCCAAACTTTTAACGAAGACGGAAGAGATGGTCCCGATTAGACGCAAAATCTTGAGATTATAATAAATATATTTTACTTTACACACATTTAAATAGTAATCAAGTTCGTAAAAAAAAAGAAAAAAAAAGAGAAACGGCTCATGAAGGGATTCGAACCCTTCGACCTTCAGGACCCCTAGTCCTAACGCTCTACCACTGAGCTAATGAGCCTTATCACTTTTTTATTTTCTTTTCTTTTTATATTTATGCCTATTCGCACGCGTACTACGTATAAATACTTATTTGACTTTAATTTATAGATAATATACAACAAAAACTGGAAAATATTTTATAAACAATATAAAACACAATAATAATATAAAAAAAAATAACCAAAAATGTAAAATGGTTTTTTTACGAAATCTAATGTGAAATAAAATCTAATATAAGACAAAGACTAGAAAATATTTTATAAGCAATATAAGGCACAATAATAATATGAAAAAAATTTCAAAAAATAGAAAATGTTTTTTTTTTACGAAATTGACGTGAAAAAGAAATCTACAGAGAAACAAACGGGGAAAGGAATTGCAAAATTAAACATTTGTAATCACGATCTGCAACAATAGAATTCCGTAATACGACGACAATTAGTAATTCACGTTTCCGAGCTAGCTGGCGTGAGTTGATTTTGTGTTTCGCGTGGATGGTGGAAAGCGCATTCATTCTTCGCGAGAAGAATATACAGCGCAATGTAATTCTACCTTCCGAGTTTCCTAAGCCTATAGTTATTCTAAGTAGATGAAAGTCTGGACTTTGTTGTGTATAAGCGGATGGTCTTATTACTTATAATAACTAATAACACGATAATACCCGGTCGCGCGCGGCGAGACTTTACCGTCACTCTATTGTTGAGAGATAATGCCACTTATGTTTCCACGGTATGTAATAAATAAATATATATATATATATATACATATATATACATATATATGTATATGATACATGTGTAAAGTATACATGAAATAGACGAAGAAAAGAGAATGTGAAAACTAAACTCTCGGGTAAGGAGGTTGTTGAACGTAATACGATAATTGATGGTTACATTACAGTATCAAGCGTCAATACATTATATATATATATATTACTATTTTTAATATAATATTGCTATAATTACTATACCTAATTATTACACAAATAATGTGATACACAGGTAATGTGATATACAACAAATTAACAGAACGGCAAACATTGTAATAATTATAGTACTTTTCTCTCTCTCTCTCTCTCTCTCTCTCTCTCTCTCTCTTTCTCTCTCTTGTTAAAGAACGAAAAAATTAAAACGATTCTTTCATAATTACCGTAAAATTGCACCATGGCTTTTATTAGCAGATTTGTGTATTTTTTTTTTTTTTTTTTCCATGTGTCCTATTCGATTTTTGTTTTGTTGCAATTGTCCGCTGGCATGTCCGACGTGATCGGCTACCACACACGAACGTTCCGGCCGGGCAGGCTTCTTGCAGTAAATTAAAAGTATTCACCGACGACGCGAACGTTTTGTCGGCCGGCTGACGTTTATCTTTCCGAGCCGGGTATTCTTGTCGTCCTCTGCCCGTTGATTCTCTAACGAACTCCGAGGGCCTCCGTCTCGAGGTGCCTTTTACTCGAAGGGAATTTGCAGTCCCGGGTTGTCGCGAGAACAAAAGCACTTCCCGAAATAATCGAAAAGAAATGCGAAAAAAAAAACGATAACGTCGCACAACTGCACTTGAAGGAAGCGTTAACGTATGCTTTTGACATTAGCATACAAGCTGAAGAATGTTTTATCGCGCGTTTCATCCGACGCATTCTTCCCCCGTGGCCTCTCGGTTTCGTGGCGTCAAAAAATATTTATCGGCGTTTAACAATCGTTAAGGAAGAAAACAGACGCGTTTACGATCTCTTGTTCGTAGAAGCAAACTAAACGGAATTCTCTTCACTGTATCGCCGGCAATCATCAAATTACTCTATTCTTTTGACCATCTCTCGCTGCTGTCAATAAGACCGGATCTTTCCGCACGCAGCTCGGAGTCATTCTTCATCCTCGGTTGTGCACGGAAGATCCGAGACTTCCGCATGAATAATGCAACCGCCGCGCGGATTGGCATCGTTTTCGAGGTGTCAGAGCTGAGAAATTTCCGAAATTAATCGGCGGAAACCTACTTTGCATGTCTGCGAACGCCGCCCGTCGTCGAGACGTGGCCGCGCGCGAAAACGCGCGACGAGATCGTCCGCCCGTTTCGTTGGCGTGTCGCCAGCGCGTCGCGCGCTGCATTTTCAAGGATCGTAACATAAAAGCCGAGGATTTATGACGTCGCTGTGCCTCCCGGCCAAATGTATGATTTTCGGCTGTGGCACGATCGCCGAGAAAGGGCAAGGGCTGGCGATTGACTATAAAATTTTGAGCTACAGTCAAGCGTCGAATTTTATCTCATTCATGTGTACAGTATTCGTAATTGATCTTTTTGTTTTTTTTTTTTTATGTGTATTGTGTGTTTCGAAGTATATTATCGAAAAGTATGTTAATTTATGTATGATACTTTGTGTAAAAATTACGTAACGACTGTCAACATCTGTGTTTTTACGTGAGTCGTATTGCTGAGTATGCAAGTAAAAACGCAAGTAGGTCGACGGCCCATTAGCTCAGTTGGTTAGAGCGTCGTGCTAATAACGCGAAGGTCGCGGGTTCGATCCCCCCATGGGCCATATTTTTTTTTATTTTGTTAATTTCATCATTTTGTTTTTTTTTACAATACGTGTTTACTTGTTTTTGTTTATTTGTGTTAAAAAATTGTTTTTTTTTTTTTTAATTTGTATTTCGTGTATATCAACTAAACAACAAATGTAGTTTGTATTGGCTTGCAAACTTTGTCTTTCACAACATTGCAATTGCAACAACGGCCCATTAGCTCAGTTGGTTAGAGCGTCGTGCTAATAACGCGAAGGTCGCGGGTTCGATCCCCCCATGGGCCAATTTTTTTTTTTTTTTCACTCGTATATAATTGTGTGAGCATATTCTCTACAAGATATGAAAATTAAATAATACACCGAGTTTTAATATTTCATTCTAGTAAATATTGATGTGCAAAGAGAGTCGTTTCCATTAGAACAGAAAGAACATTTTATACAGTTGTGTGCAGTAATCCTAAATGCACTAAAAAAAAATTATATATTTTGTCGTCAGTAATAAAATGTACAGAAATAAATATAAATAAATAAATAAAAAAAAAAAAAAAACGTTCACGATCCTGCCAGGATTCGAACCTGGAATCTTCTGATCCGTAGTCAGACGCGTTATCCGTTGCGCCACAGGACCTAGCGATAGCAACCCTCTAACACTTTCATCCCCTTTAATGTCGCATTATTTTAATTTGCATTGGATAGTTAATGAATATGCAATATGCACTCACTTGGGTATGCGAGGTCAATTTTAATATTATTATTCGTAGTTGCTTATAATTTAGCAGGAACGTGCTGTATTTTCTCTAAGGGTATTACAGTGTTGATTAATTAAAACCACTGCATTAAGGAAGTTGATTCGCGCAGCGTACAGCATCGGAGTTTCGCGAGTGTGTTTACTCTGTTTACTCTCTCAAACGACATAACTTCGCGATAGATGGAGATACGAGGCGGAAAGGAATTGCCAAACGACCGCGGCTAACGTTGTCGATAACAATATCGCCTGGCGGACTGAACTTCCCCTCGTGCCTTTGCCGTCCGAAAAGTTTACCTCAATTAGCAGGAGTTTCTGCCGAACTCGGGACATATAATTGGCTATTTACGAATATAGCGCGCGCACGCGCACAATATTCCCACGGTCAAATTTCCAAATATTATAAACAATTGTTATCGATGAAACAATGGCTTCGTTTCCTTACATTTTGCGTTGAATTGTTTTTTTTTTTTTTTTTTTTTCAGGTTTGCTCATTTCTTTACATTAAAATTAATTCTCGCTGAGACGTGCAAAGAAACTATCGTAAACGGTCTTTCTGAGATATTTCAAAGTTCATTAAAGGTGCTATAATAAAGAAGTCCCGACTGGCTGACTTTTGGATAACTTGTGACTCGCAACGAGCGAAACCTCTCCACTCTCTTTCCTTATTCTTTTGTGCGGCTTCTTTTCTCTCCGCGTTATTCCACTGATATTTCTCTCGGAAACTTTTCGAAATAAATTCACAGATTTTTACTCGCCAAAGCATTTTAAATAAACGTGAGGGTTTTTAGTTTTAATTTTTGTTATTCGGAGGGTAAGAGGAAATTTCTGTCTCGATTGTGTGTGAGTTTATCGACGAAGATTATTTATTTCGATGCGCGTATCGCACATATACCGGCATTGAAATGACCTTTACAGTTCGTAACCCCATTAAACTTTTACGATTTAAGTTTCGGTCGACATTGGGAACCGGAAAGCTTTCCGTCCGGATCCCGTCGAAACACAATACAAACTCGCTACGCCGAACAAAAACGTTTCATTCCGACTGAATTTCTATGCGCGAGAGAATTACGAGAAATGTGTATGTGTGTGTGTGTGTGTTAGCTAATTAATTTGGAAAATTGCCTGCAAGGGAAAGATGAATGAGAAGTCCTGCGAAAAGCATTTCCTATTTTCACGACCGTGAAACGTGCGCTTCCGCGAGGGGAAACACATATGTTTCCGTCGTGAAGTTGGAAGAGTTAATTTTGCACACAATTCGTTATTTAACGGTAACGTTGTGGATGTATTCAGAAGAACGAGAGCCGCGATAAACGCGCGGGAATTTTTAAAACTTCTCATTACACGCGGCGAATAATACCGCTGATACACTTGGATTAATTATTATTACTTCTGCGGCGAGCAGAATTATCCGATTTTTTGTCGGATAAACGAGGGGCTGATTTTTTTTCATTTCAGTGGAATCTAAACCACCTCAGATAACAGGCCTCATTATACCATCTGATAAAATAGGAAAGTTATAAAATATGTGAATCGAACATTTTACATCTGCAGATTTTTTAAATTATTATTCAGAGAGAGAGAGAGAGAGAGAGAGAGAGAGGGAGAGAGAGAGAGAGAGAGTAAGAAAGTCTTTTACATGCAAAAAGACAGAATATGAATTAAACGTCAGCTGTTGAAATATCGAGCTGTTCGCACGAGGGAGAGACCAGTGTCTTCGCGCTACGTTACAGTTTTATCGTCTTTATCCGCGGATAAT